CATCACAGCCTGAAAGAATGACGGAATGACAGCTTTCTGCTCTCCACAACCAGAGCCAGCCTGCTGAACGCCTGTAAAGCAGCCTAAAGTTAGAGCCCAGTGTGTTTAGTGTCTGCAAGCAACACACACACACACACACACACACACACCTCACAACAAACTCCAACACACACTTGTGAGAGGAAGCGTTTGAGCATTTACAGCTGAGCGGCACTTTAAAAAAGAACGATGAAAGATCCCAACAAGGCCTGCGCCAACAAACAACAGTGATTTAGCAACCTTTTTCTGGTGACTGGGTGAAGACAGAGAAAGGTGCCAAAATGTCAGGTTAAATACATCCCACCTTCAAACACACAYACTCACTCACACACTTTAGTCACATGGTTCAGTTCAAGAGCGTGGAACAGACGTCGTGTTTTGAATGAAAATCTCAGAGAAGCAGCTCTCCAGTCAGACTCTGTGGGAACTTCTGGTCAGAGGTGAGCCAGATGTTGAGCTGTAAAGGGGYGCTGCCCTCCACCACCACCATCACAACTCTTTCCTACTTTTATATTCTGTGTACTTGATCGTAGTGGATACGTGTGACTTCAGGAAACGACACAGGCTTTTGTTCKGTGATGTGCATGGAGGCAGCTCATTCACAAGTCTGCAGTTTGACTCARTACTTCATGAAATGACTCTGTGACCTAATTGTTTATTAGCAAAATATATATTTTCTGTGTACATAGGCTATAATTTAAAAATGCAGAAAAATACTATCTTTTAAAAACATACATTCTAAGGAAAATGTCACAATTCCTATAGAGAGAAGTTACAGCGTCACCATTTGAAATAAAATTCTTCTGATTTATGAAGTGAAAGTGAATTATGTTCAGACACAAAAACACATTTCAGTCCATTTTTAATGAGAATTACTGTACATCCTCAGATTCTAATTATACTCTCTTATATCATACTCTCCTGTTATGTCAAACATAAAATATACTCATAAAACAATTTATTTATTTTATATTTATTTATAACCTTTATTTAACCAAGAAATCCCATTGAGATTAAAAACCTCTTTTTCAACAGAGATCTGGCCAAGATTGGCAGCAGCAGCAGCAAATGCAACACATAGTTTCACATCTTAAAACCACTAAATCTACTAAATTTCATTACTTTTCATAGCGTTGTTGTACATATCATGTAAGAACCAACCATCATCATTGAAAATGTTCCCATTAAAATTGATTTTTGAGAGGTTTTCTACCATTTTGACTATAGCAAACTGCTTTTATCTTGTAAAAGTTTGATTTCGAATTTCTACTTGATGCCACTACGACTGAGCAGCCACCAGGACTGGCAAGCAGTATTACTTCAACTTTACTTCATTAATCAACTTTGTTTATTGAACAAGAATTTCTGTCATTTTGAAGGGGTGTTCAGTGGAAAAGTTATGAACAGTTTGTGTCTTACCTGTTTTGGATAGTGTTTTGAAAAACCTTGGTTTGAAGAAATACAGTTTTTGTTTGACAGGACTGCTGAGCTAACAGTAGTCTGTTGACAAAAAAGTGAGACATTTGTCAAACCTAATGGGACAAACCTAATGTTTCAGTCACATTTATTTATTCTAAAATAATCTGTTTACTGAGCAGATTTGACCCAAAGCCCAAGTACGTCACTCACCTCTCACTCATCCAGGTATCATCACTGCCCTCAGCTGGAGACAAACCATTATTACCAAATGGCAGCTGTGCTTATTCTGATCTGGATTWATTTCAGTGGACTATGAGAAACTTTCTAAATATCTTGACCTTTACATACACTTCCCATTGGTAATATTTGTCAAACTTAAACAAACACAGCACATCTGATGGAACTGGAGGTGTGTGTGTGTGTTGGGGGGGTTGTTTTTGATGAAATTTGGGGGCAATTTTAAGGCCTACATTTGGGGACAACTGGTGCATTTGGGGACAAAAGTCAAATCCCCGTTTGGTTTAAATGTCATTGGTGGGTTGGGGGTTGGGTTTAGGACCAAGGTGTGAATTGAGTTTAGGTTAGTTTTAGGGTCAGGTAGGTACCTGTGAGGTGGGTTAGGCTGTAGAAATGTAATGGAAGTCAATGGAATGTCCCCAACACAGACGTCCAGTTTTGGTGAGTCGACATGATCAGACTAACTTCTCCGTTTGTTCCAGCCAACAAACAGCTAACCACGAACACATCTTGAACGTTATAAGGAAGCCGAGCTTCTCAGATGTCAGCAGGTCKACCCACGCTGCAGCAGTCTGCTGAGCAAAGCACATTTCATCAGCCCGTCTGCAGAGACTGTAACCAAGTAAACGTATCTCCACAAACAGCTCTAACATTTCACAAAGAACAAGTCCCTACGCTTCTTATCATTAGTTTATGTCATTTTTTTCTGTGCTGTGTGATGCATGTTGTTCTGATTGAAAACACTTGGATTACTCTCAATTTGTTGTATTTTTTTATTTTCTGATCCAGACTTGAAGGTTCTCTGAGGTGTTTCAAACGGAGGTTGATTATACTGCATGTAGACAAACAAATCTACAATATATGATGAAAATAAATTTGTTGGAAAAATAGTAATAATAATTAACACTTTGACTTGACAACACAACACAGATACACTAAGTCTGTAAGTCTGTCTGTAGTGAATCAATTAGAAGATTTTTTAAAGAACATGTATATTTAATTTCTCATTATCTTCTCCAGCTTCTTATTTGACACAATACATYAGTGGCAAAGTTAAACTAAATTCAAGACTCTTTGTAAAGAGATGGCAAAATTCTAAAGCTTTTCTATGTCAAAGGAAACACGTACTTTAATAAATTCTTTGGGTAAGACAGAAAAAAATCACATTATTCCCATTAAGTTTGAAACCATTGTTGTTGCTTTCAGTTTTCAGTTAATTCCAACCCAAAACGGGAAAAAAAAGGCCCAACGATAAACACATAAAGAACTGCTAAAACWTAACCACAGGCCCAGACCCTCACAGATTGTTTTTGCAGCACCAGGTTAAAACTTTGCAGGTCAGTGTTCAAGGTAAAGAGCCAGTTACAGCTCTACCGAAGGAATAAACCGGATTATCTGGGGTGCCACCAAGTGACTGAAGTTTTATTAGCATCCATGAAGAACACATGCATTCAGACAAGGTCACACATCAAATGAACTCTTCTTCAAATATTAGAAGAGAGTTACTAAAAAGAAGGAAAGAGAGAATAAATTTATGAGAAATGAGCAACTGTTTTGTCACCCATGTAATTGTAAAAATTCAGAGCTGCTTAAGGCTGGAGATCCAGCTMTTTATCATCAACCATGATAACTGACAAGATCCCAGAACCAAACCAAACTATTGAGAGTTTACAAATGTGAAAACTTCTCCCGAGATAAGCTGTGAAATCAGGTCCTCAGTGTAAGATTTGGTGAATATTTGCACTGATTACAGTTTAACTTGCGTGTAAATGCAGCTCRGTGCAACAGAAACACGGGCCAGATTGTGATAAGAGCGGAAAGAAGTTTGTTATTTGAGTGGAATGACCCAGTCTCAGAGCGCAGCCTGGATTCAGAGCGATCTGTAGACTTTACCCTCTTTACAAATAAAACAAAAGTGCAATTTAGCTGCGTTTGGCAGCACTTAGTCACAATCACTTTTACACCTGATCATCAGATCTTCTGTCTGTCAGACTGAACAGTGCATCAGTAGAAACATCACTTCATWGTCTGTGTAATTTAAAGCAATTATCACTGCTTTTAAAATTCAAAGYGAATTTTAATATTTCCTGCCATCGTTCAGATTGAGGTCACTGCTAATGGTGGTGGATTATTAACACTAATGCAGTTAAACTTGTAAAATAACAGAATAAATGGTCTTAATAAACAGGTTTKTCAAAATGTTAGGAAGTGAAATTAGAGGAGCTAATTGTTGAGAAATACACCTTCTATGATAACATGGAATAACAAAACATGATTAAATATGAAAACATAAACTTGTTGGAAATATTCCCAAATCACACGAGAGACGTGTAAAATATGTTTTATGTGTTGATTTAACATCTTTTCAYGTGAATTCATGTGATTCTCCACAAGTGAAGTTCTTGTGTTTATTGTTCCAAATCCACAACGCTTCACATGTGTTTAACATGCGACACAACATTTTAATAAGTGAAAAGATTTGATTTCAATATGAATTTGTCTGTGCTTTTGTCACATGTGATTTCAAAGTCAGACATGTAAACAGATATTGTGTTGTTTCTCTACGGGTACTCGAGGTTGAAACAAAGCAAAATATTTTACATGCTCATCGGATTTTCATGTAAAATACTTAATGTCAGAAATATCTGAGGCTAAATTGATAAAGGGATCCCTGATTAGTTG